GAAGACAGTTTAAAAATGGTTGCAGCAGTACATCAACAGGGAGCTCCCCGAAATTGAAGCTGGATTCAGAAAATGTAATAGGAGGTTGTCATTGCTGATGTCAGATCTTGGCTGAAAGCAAAGCATACCCTAAAGATGCTTACTTGAGCTTTATTGGCTATGTAAAGACATTTGACTCTGTGGATCATGACAAGCTATGGATAACATTGTGCAGAACAGGCATGTAGGACATTTTATTGTGTGTTCATGAGAATAAGAGGCAGTCATTGAAACAGAACCAAGAGAACATTGAATGGTTTAAAATCAGGAAAGGTATACATCAGGGTTGTATCCTTTCACCATATGTATTAAGTCTGTATACTGAGCAAATAATCTGAGAAGCTGAATTACATGAAGAAGACCATGGCATCAGGATTGATGGAAGACTCATTAACAACCTCAGATATGCAGATGGCTCAACCTTCTTGCTGGAAATGAAGACAACTTGAAATACTTTGTGACAAAGATTAAAGAATACAGCTTTTAGTACAGATTACACCTCATTATAAAGAAAATAAAAGTCCTCACAACTGGACTGAAAAATAACATCATGATAAAAAGAAAAAATAGAAAGTGGTGAAAGACTTCATTTTGCTTGGATCTATAATCTATGATCATGGATTCAGCAGTGAAGAAATCAGGTGAGACGTGCATTAGGCACATCTCCTAGAAAAGATCCTTTTAAAGAGCAAAGATGGCACTTTGAGGACTAAGGTGCACCTGACACAAGCCATATTTTCAAATGCCACATTCATATATGAATGTGAATCTTGGATAATGAATAAGGAAGACCATAGAGGTACTGATGCTTTTTAATCATGATGTTGGTGATGAATATCGGAAGTCCCATGGACTGCCAGAACAAACTAATCTGTCTTGGAAAAGTACAGCCAGAATGAGCCTTAGCAACCAGGATGGTGACACTGCCTCTGTTGTCAGGAGAGACCAGTCCTTGGAGAAGGACATCATGCTTGCTAAAGTGGAGGGTCAGGAAAAAGAGGGAGACCCCCCCAATGAGATGAATTGCAGCAGCACTTGGCTCAAACATAAACAACCATTGTGAGGTTGATGCAGGATGGGGCAGTGTTTCATTTTGTATGCATACGGTCACTTTGGCATAATTACACCAGCACCTTTACCCATGTGTGGGGAGACCAGCTCTCCGCGGGGGGTCATGGGACACGAGAGGATACGCGGAATCAGCAGATGAAGAAATGAATGAATACAATCGAAAGGCTTTTCAGCTTGCTTTGCTGTTCAGCTCTTCTCTCCAGCTTCTGCTTTCTGCTCCTACTCTCTGCTTTCTGCTCCTACTCTCTGCTTTCTCCTACTTCATTTTTCTGCTGCTTCTACTTTCTGCTTTCTGCCTCTGCCCCTACTGCCTCTGCCTTCTGCTTCTTTCTGCTCTATGCCTTATGCTGTCTGTCCTCTGCCTCGTTCCTCCTCCCTCCTTTCCTCTGCTGCTTCTGCCAGCCCAGCTCAGCAAGTCTTTATTTTTTATACTTAAAACTACATAGTACATGCATTGACACTTTTATCATTTTTTGAATTATTACACACTTAGTCACAACATTCTTGCACCTGGTCATTAGACAACCTTGACAAAAATACTTCTGTGATGTTCAGACTGACCTTCATCTCCTTTCCCAGCATGTGATAAACTGTTTCTTCTTGTTTCTACTAAAAGATTATAAACTTTCTATCCTACATAATGTGCTATTATTTTCATAATAAGGGTATTCATTAAATCGCTTAGAAGCTATGTGGCTTAAAGCCCAACCTGGCTACTTGCTGCAAGAAGTGTAGATTATTAGGTCAAAATTATCCTTCACTTAAATTCATTATTGTCTGCTTGTTTACGCAGGTGTCTGTATGTAGGGGTTTGAGAATTCTAGCTAGTGACTGATTGTGGTGAGGTCTATGGGGGTAGATCAGCTTGACTCTAATTTGCTATCTGCTCTTGTGGTCTCACAAATACAGTTACTTAGGTTTTCTATGAAAGGGAGTAATTTACACAATTTTCTTTGTATTCAATCCACCGAAGCTGAAAGCAATTGTTGATAAGCCAGTTTTTCCTAAGGTTTGTAAAATTCATATTGAAAGGCTGTGAATATTGCCATATTATATATTTTTACAAGTAAATTCAGAGTTAACTTGAAGGGAAGATAGGGACTAGCTTTTGAGAGTCATTTGCCGTGCATAATGTCTTTCCCCCCAGTGCGGCCGTGCCAAGCAATGGGAGTTAAGCGCTTCCCGCACCCATGTTGTTGTTGGGAAGTGCTATCGAGTCTGTTCCAACTCATAATGATCCTGTATAGGATTTCTGAGGGAGTAATCTCATCTGTCTCCCTCTGGATGGCTGGCGGGCTCAAACCATGGACCTTGTGCCTTGTAGTCCTGTGATTATCATATGGAGCTATTGTGCTCCCTATTCACCCATTTTTTGTTGTTGTTACGTGCCATCAAGTTGGCACCAACCCATAGCAACCTTACACACAGCAAAACAAAACACTGCCCAATCCTGGGCCAACCTCACAATTGTTGCCACACTTGAGTCCATCGATGCTGCCACTTGGCCAGTCCATCTCGCTGGGGGTCTTCCTCTTTTTCTCTGACCCTCCACCTTACCAAACATGATATCCTTCTCCAGTGACTGGTCCCTCCTGACAATATGTCCTAAGTATGAGAGACGAAGTTTGGCCATCCTGGCCTTCAAGGAGCACTCTGGCTGCACTTCTTCCAAAATGGATCTATTGGTTCTTTTGGCAGCCCATGGCACTTTCAGTATTCTCCTCCAACACCATAACTGAAAAGCATCAATTCTTCTACAGTCTTCCTTATTCACTGTCCAGCTTTCACATGCATATGAGCTTATTGAAAATACCATGGCTTGGATCAGGCACACCTTAGTCCTCAAACAGACATGGTTGCTCTTCAACACTTTAAAAAGGTATTGTGCAGCAGATTTGCCTAATGCAGTACATTGTTTGATCTCTTGACTGCTGCTTCTGTGAGTGATGATGGTTGATCCAAGAAGAATGAAGCCCTTGACAACTTCATTCTTTTCTCCATTGATAAGAATGTTGTTTATTGGTCCAGTGGTGAGGATTTTTGTTTTCTTGACATTATGATGTAATCCATACAGAAGGCTGTGCTCTTTGATCTTCATCAGTAAATGTTTTAAGTCCACTTCACTTTCAGCAAGCAAGGTTGTATCATCTGCATATCACAAGTTGTTAATGAGTTTTCCTCCAATCCTGTTGACCCACAAATGTGTAACAATGTTAATGCACACATCCTCCATCTACGCACATACTGATGTATAGTAATGAGCATCCATGCCACCTCTCTTGACATGTACACATGTAAATGCCCATCCACACCTCTTCCACCCACACCTACCCACAGACATGTAATAGCACTGTCAGTAGCTTCTCTGTCCACTCCTACCTATAGATGCGTAATCCTGTTGGGCACTGTCAGCTTCCAGCAAGGACTGTGCTACTGAGAAAAGATGAGAATGATGATGTGTCAGATTTGGGGATATTACCTGCTGGGCTCTCTTACACTCAAGACTCTTGACTTTGCTTTGGCATCACTGCCTCCCCTCTGCTTGTTAAAAGGTGGACATTGAAGTAGGTCTAATGTGGGTCCAGAGCCATGCTGGCTCCTTGCAATGTGACTGTACAACCTCCACGCCTCCCAATGCCTTAGTTGCCCCATTTATGAGTGAGACGGACTTGTGTACACTTTACTCATGAGACCCCTGGGAAGATGGAGTGCACTAACAACATCGAGTTTGACTGCAGGCTCCACAGTGGGTGAGCTGGGCATCTAATGGGTAGTTCTTGGTGTGGAAGTGTTCCCTGAGCTCTGGACTTTACGAGAATGTTTGTTGCCCATGCCCCACTGCCACCATGAAGTCACAGGGATTGAAATGCTTGTAGGATATGGGTGTCTCCATAGAATGAGAGTGGTGCAGGGTGAGCAGGTCAGTCACCAGCTCTCGTATCACCATCGATAGCTATGGGTACCCAAAAGGACTAAAGCCCAGGAGAAAGCCAAAGGCCCCCACCAGCCTGTGATTGGCCATCTGTGCTTTGGGATCTTCAGGATGTCAGGGCAGCTATCTACTGTGAATGTCACATCACACTGTGTCCACAGCTGGGCAAGAGCTGGTGGGGAGAGGACCGGGCTCTGTGAGTAAGTACACTGTGCCATTCCCATCTCCACCAATGTGCTTACCTCTCCTCAGCTCTACGAAGCCTTCACCTTCCTGAAGGGGCTGGGAGCTGTGATCCTGGTCCATGCGGAAAATGGAGACTTGATCGCTCAGGTGAGTGTGACCCTTCCTTGGTCTTGTTTGGGAGGGTGACCAGGCAGTAAAGGGTCAATCAGAAGCAGGACACCACACGTCAGACACACCAGGCAAGTCCCACACCTGCCTGCAGAGGGACCATAGAATCATCTTCACAGTGGGGCGACAGAACTGCTCAGGAGCCCAGGTGAGTCTGTAAGTGACAAGTGAGGACAGAACAAGAAAGAGCTAGGCAGATCAGGATACAGAAGCAGTCTTTACTCAGGGGAGGAGGGGTCATGGTGGATGGAGCCCAGGACAGCAAGCAGAAAGTGTCCAGCTCAGCATGTAACCTTAAGCAGAAGGTCAGGCCAGCACAGAACTTGCTCAACGCCTCCTTCAAGAGTTCTTGTAAGGATCGAGCCAGTGTGTGAGGCATTTGGCCCCTGACAAATCCAGACCTGAGTGTGTGGAGGGCAGGACGTGAGGATCAAGTGAGATCATATGGGCGGCACCCCGCCCCAGGCACATACAGGCCCCATCTGAGGAGGCCAGGATGTGGGCACGCAGCGGTCACTAGCTGCAGACAGAGGGGCTGGTTCTGCCTCCCTTATTACTCCACCGTGGCAGTGTCCTCAAAGTCATCATTTCCACTACCAGTCCACTCAAGGCCACATTAGGCTTTCTCTAGCACGTTCCTCAAACTGCCGTGTGCCTCTGTGCACTCCCTGGCTGCGTAGCCCTCCCACTTTTAAGTCATTGTGTGCTAACACACCATTCCTGGTACCAGATTCTGTGCTGACTATGGCTGCAGCGAATGGTCCCAAAGCCTCCCTCCCACAGCACACTGCTTCTCATCGGGGTTGGAGCCTTCACTGCAATGGCCACACAGACCTCACTGTTAGGAGGTTTGTTAGGGAAGTTACCGGGTTACAATGCAGAGTCAGAAAATGCTCAAGGTACAGCCGTAACTGTCAGGAGACCCCGTCCGCTGCCATGACCACAGGCAGGCTCCTCTCTGACCTGGCAGTGTTACAGAGCTCTTTTAGGGCTGCTGATAAATGCTCATAGGGCACACTACTCCACCACTGGGGGGTCTTGAACCACCAACCTTTCAGCTGAATGCATTAACATTTGCACACTCGGGGACTCTGCTAGATCTTAGAGTGTGCGTGTCCCACTTCAGTACCTGCTGGTGAGCCCTGCCAGTGTGCTGATCTCACCCCACACAGGGAGTCCAGCTGGCCGCCTCCAGCTCTGGAATCCTTCCCCTCCCCGGCTCTTCCCCACTGCCAGGGGCTTCTTAACAGCCCCCACTGCCGATTTTAAGTCAGTTGCCATTTGTCCATCTGTCCTCTCTGTATCTTCTTGGTCCCTGTGGACTTTCTGCCCCTTCTTCAGGTTTCAGAAGGGTGCAGAAATAACACATGGTCTCAACCCATGATCTTTAGCTGCAAGTCTTTAGGTTTGTTTTGTAATTGGCATTTCCCCCATTATGGCCTCTGATATTGAACAATTGTACGCTAAGATTTCTCCAAATCAGAATCTTGTGCAAGAAGCTTACAGGAAGGCTTTGTAAGACTGTCTTCAATAGCTGTGAGTGAGCTCATGTTTACATATCCCCACATGAGCTGTGGACCCTGAAGCTGTTCCCAGTACGTTCCTGTAATAAACGGGAGCTTCAGTCTACAGGTGTACAATTGGGGTTGTGATTCTTTGTCATAGGTGATGGGGTTGGAACATATGGGGGACGAGCCCAAGATGAATGACAACCTAACAGCAGAAGTTAGAGTTAGCACCCATGTGCAGCAATGCTGGTGGCAGCGGTATGCACAACAGTCGAAGGGTGGAAACAAGTGATTGTCCATGAGCCAGTGATGGAAAAGCGCAGGGGAGCCTCCAGCCACATGGTGGAATGATGCTTTTGTTGTTACGTGTTGTGGAGTCAGCTTTCACTCATAGGGACCCTGTCTAGGGTTTCCAAGGAATGGTTGGTGGGTTTGAACCGCTGACCCTGCAGTTGGCATCCCAGTGCTGATCCCACAGTGCCACACCTGAGCCTCCATAAAGAGAAGTGAAGTCCTAACAGGAGATGACGCAGACATGAAGGGACAGACAGACACGTTACCAGGAGCTGAGGGGAGAGAATGGGAATTCCTGTGAAGGGGGTGTCGTTGGCGATGGATGTACAACATGGCTGTGCACCTAAAAATGGTTAAGATGGTAAACCATGATTCTGTGTATGTTATACATTTTTAAACATGTGTTCTGACATAGCTGACCTCCAGGTCTCGTCCATTTGGTGCCGCCCCGTGCCCCGCCCCCCTTGGACCCTGTCTCATTCACAGAGTGACGCTCCCCGTGACCAGCGTGGAGAGGAGGACACTGAGGTGCCGGCCCCAGTTGATCAGTTCAGGAGCCGGAACCCTAAACTTAGGGTTCCTTGATATCAGCAACCATGCAAAACCCAAACACCACACTTGTTTCCCACTGAGTCCATATCTCAGAGATGCACACACAGTGGTGAGGTTCTGGCCCACTTTCAGGCACTTCCTTTTCTCAGAGAGCTGTGGACATGGCAGGGTTGGCTGTGACATTTGGGTCGCCGCAAGGTGAAGTGGACAGATTCAGCGTTCACACCCTGTGCACACTAGTCTGTTGGCCTAGACTGCTCCAGCAGCCAAGAGGGTCTTTCCAGTGGCCTCTGATCACTGACCATTGTGTCCTTGTCTTACAGGAACAGAAGCGGATATTAGAGATGGGCATCACAGGCCCAGAGGGTCATGCTCTGAGCAGACCTGAAGAGGTAAAATGCCATCTGGGGTGGGACTCTGTCTGATGTTCACCTTACCACCGTCTGCCTGGGGTCACCTCTGTGCCCTGTCCTCCCCGGGATCCTTGCCGCTTATGCCCTAATGAAAATTCTGCAGGTCACCCCCATCCCTGTCCTCCCCAGATATGTCGTCACCTGTTTGCACACTGCTGGTACCTCACCTCAGGGCAGATGGGAGTCCCGGTGTGAGCAATGCCTACAAAACGGTACAGATGTCACTTGTGCTGGAGGTGCCCTGGTCCGGAGTGGGGCCCAGACAATACAGGTGTCTGCTTCATTGGAAGAATGAACACAGGAGTGACGTGTGTGCATTCATAACACTGGGCACTTTATTGTTGTTGTTGTTAGGTGCCAT